TGAACAAGCTGAGAAGTTCTTGACTTTCCAGAACCGCCGTGGAGGAAGAGTTGTCCTGCAGGATGTCAAGGTGAGAGCGGAGAAGTATGTTGAGGCCCACGGAGGCTGAATGAAAGTGGTGGTCGGCCGATGGGACATATGAGTAAGTATAGTGCTACTGAGACCTGATTAACTCTTTCTAACACTCCAGAAACCAGAGCAAGATGAATGGAAGAATGGAATCGCTGCCATGGAAGCTGCTTTGAAGCTGGAGAAGAGCCTGAACCAGGCCCTGCTGGATTTGCATCAAGTTGCTTCACGCCATACAGATCCCCATGTAAGTTGACAGGAAAAGGTTTGCAGGGTTAGGTTCACTCCCGTTTACTATTACAGTAAATGCCCACCAAGGTATCCTGGAATAATATGTTCTTTAATTACACTTGTCCAATTTTGTTTTGGCATATTCGCATGGGGCTGCAGTTAGGGAAGGATGGAGAACCTGCAAGAATCCAGCTGCAAGAAATATACCTTGTTGGTTAAGCTGGGTGGTAATGTACCACAGGCAGTTGAGATTCAGCAACATTTGAACATCAGGAGTTTCCCTATTTAATCCACCCCAAACCATCCAGCTAAGGTGGCTGCCGATTAAGTGAATTGTGATTGACAGACCTTGGATGCACCATCTTCTTTGAAGAATTCAAAATCTGCTTTCAATTTTTAATGGGGTTATGGTTGAGTTCTTTGCACGGTATATGTGTTTTCTGCATTCCTACTGTCCCAAATGCTAACTGGCCAATTATCAAGAATGCAGTGGATTTTTTTTTACATTGGTAGAAGATAGGATCAGCTGATTTTGAGATTCCTCCTAGTTCCTGATAGATTGGATGATTGAGAGGCATTAGTCCTTCTAATTCTTGGACTTCTTATTTAATATAGGTAGGCTTTTTCTGTGGAATCCTTGAATTAAAACTCCTTTCTTTTCCTAAGCTTTGTGACTTCTTGGAGACTCACTATTTGGATGAGGAGGTGAAGTTGATCAAGAAGCTGGGAGACCATGTGACCAACCTGAAGCGTGTCCGTGCCCAGGAGGAAGGCCTTGGGGAATACCTGTTTGACCGTCTCACCCTAGGTGAATCCAGCGACTGAGCCTAGAGGTGTTGGCTCCCTCCCAGCTCCTATAGCCTTAAATGTATTAAAAGCTGGCTGGTCAATAATATGGTCTCTGTACCCCTGTCTGTTTTTGGGGAGAAAGGAGCCGAGTCTGTAACTGGCATTAAATAAACTTGGCATTAAGCACTACATCCTGTGAACGTGTATATAATTGGGAGAATGGTATATAGTGGATATGCCCGTCCTGCTTAATGGTTTGGCAACTATTGCATTAGATTAAAGATCTGTTTAATTCAGGATCCGGTCACAATTAGTGTCAAACTAACACAAAACCAGCATCTAAGTCAAACATGGAATGTTCTTAACGTAAATTCCATTTACTGCTAATGGAAGATCTAAGATAACAGCCATATGGAATTGGAAGTTCTAGGTAAAGAATTGCAGAAAAAAAAACGAACATGGCTGTATCACAAATGCTAGTAGGACAATTTTTTACTGGCTTCGAGGGAGGATTTTAAATTAAATTAAAATTTTAATTAATGCACTCATCAGAAAGTAATTATGTACTGTGTTCTCCACAAGAAACTTGGAACTGGAGATGAAGGCAGAACCTTGAGCCTGCAGCATGCAATCAGTTGTGTGACTCTGATACATCCTTTTGAATCATGCCACCCCTTCCTATGAAGGGACTACTTTTCCAATTTCACCATAAGCAATCCAACGGGCTTTAGTTTATTATCTGTGATGGCTATTTCTGTGTAGGACAGACATGTCAAACACAAGGCCTGGAGGCCAGATGCGGCCTGTGAAGTGGTTTCATGTGGCCCGCGAAGTCATCATGGAAACAGTGTGGGAATGGCCCCTGGTGCCTTGGTCCTGGCCCAGGCCAGCTGGGAGCCAATGTACAATTTTGTGGTGGCCATCTATGCTGAAATGCATTCAGTCTTAGCTCCAAGGCCGTCTAGAAACAGCAAGAAACCAGTCCCTGCTGTGTTGGCCCCGCCCCTTGGGTGCATGCTGGGGAGGTGTCACTCTTTATGAGGAATGAAGAAATCCACCATTGCCTGGAAGTGGCCAGCAAATGGCCCTCGCCTACTTCACATATCCGGCTTGATGGACTGCCCTGGTCCCACCCCTTTCTGCCAGAGACCCTCAGATCTGTCCCACTCCTGCCCAGGCACCCTTGACGGGAATGATGTAGAGCTGGCCACGCCCACCCAGTAGGCCACAACCACTCCATCCATGCCCACCCAGTAGGCCTCACCCACCCTGGCCGTACCCACCTGCCCCCCCCCCAAGGGCAACCGCAACGCTGATGCGGCCCTCAATGAAATTGAGTTTGACACCTCTGGGGTAGGATAAGGACAAAGTCTCAAGGATCTGAAAACCAGCAGATCCAGAAGAGCCTTTCTGCAGTACAAGCCACACTTCCTATTACCCAAAACAATTTCCAAAGCAAATTTTATTTTGAAATTGTTCCTTTTCATAGTCTGTTTTTCCACACAAAGGGGGAGGGAGAAACAAGACACAAAAAAATTCAAGCATTTTTTTTTTAAATTCAAGCATTTTTTCTTTTTTTTGACATCCATAAATAAAAATCTAGGTGGGGAAAGTTGGAGAAAAGAGAAAATAGGTTTAAGGCCCAAACCAATGTCCTGCTGTGTTAAAACTGTGTCTTCCCCAAGTTTAGAGGCAAGAAAGCTGGGAATTTGCAGGGCTGCCTCCCAAAATACCTGGTTCTTCATGCAGGATTGCATCAAAGAATTGTGAGAAAGAGGAAGTTTACAAGATTTTTCTGTAAAAAAATGATTTTCCATATTGATAAATAAAATTGGTAGGAGAAGCAGAACAGAAAGGGTTCTTGAGTGTGTTGGCATCTGCTCTGCCTTTTGAGGTAGTTGCCTCTCGTGCTAAGGTGGGTATTATCCGTATAACAGCTAATTAAGTATCTCAGTCTCCAGGAGCACTTCTTTGCTGCCTGTCTGCACTATTACCTGCTTTGGTCATAGCTACGTCATCCCTGATGCAGGGTCACACTGCTTCATACTGAATCACCAGCAGAACCCTGATCCCAAACATTACAGTATATGATAGGGACAGCTCAACAGTTCTGGCTCTTTCTTAGAGGCAACCAGCTAAACCAGTGGTTCTCAACCTTTTTAATGCCATGATCCCCAACCGGTCGTAAGTCGAGGACTACTCAACCGGTCGTAAATCGAGGACTACTCAACTGGTGCAGCACTGTTTGCAGAATGGGACTTTTGGTGGGCTCAGCAGGGCAGAGACAGCCTGGACAATTCCTATTGGCTTTTGAAAGCCAATAGAATTAGACGCTATTCAAGAGAGTCTATTCTATTGGCTTTCAAAAGCCAATAGAATAAAAGGGAGTAGCACAGCTAAGGAAAAGGGGAAAAAAATGACGGACTGCATTGTTTGGCGACCCCCGTGAAATGGTTGTTCAACCCCAAATGGGGTCCCGACCCACAGGTTGAGAACCACTGAGCTAAACCAATCTAAAGTGTTGATAGCCAGCATCATTCTAACAGAAACCGCAAGGGGTTTAACCTGATGGGCAATGTGACTGGATTCTAGTTTAGAACTCTCATTAGAGTAAAGATGGATGCTGGAGAGCTGATGGATTTTAGACTAGCTTGGCTGGCTCAGGAATTCTGGGAGTTAAAGTCCACGAGTCATAAAAGAACCAAGGTTGCCTACCCCTGTGCTAGAATGTAACTCCCATGAAACCTAGCTAGGATGATAGTGAGGTTGACTCGTGCATCCAGCTTGGAAAGGAAGTCCTATTAGTACTATCCTTGAGCAAAGTGCATTTTAGAACACTCCAGCTTGTTTCAGAGATTTTTTTAAGCATGCAGTCTATTCTGCTGGCCTTGATCCTGCAGTAGAACTTGACTCTGCGGTCTTCTGAAATTCATCATTGTCTATATGCAGAATGACTATCACCACCCTGGAAATCATTTTAGAATGCTCTTGAGTGTCCATGGGGATAAAGTCATTTTTTAAAAGTTTCCAAGGGCAGCCCTAAAAACCACTAACTTGAAAAGGAATTAGTATCTCTGGAATATGACAGAGCTACAGGAGAGCAATTTATGTGAAAAGGTGGTCCCAAGTCTCCTTGCACCTTAGCATTTCATATAAATGCACATTTTGATCCTTTGGACACTTTACAATATCCATCCCTGATCCCTGACCATGTTGGCCGAGGATGATGGGAGTTGAAGCCCAGCACATCTGGAGAACAACAGGCTGGAAAACATCAAGCAGGAAAGCTTCTATTCCTCAAATTCCATATCCTCTTCCATGGGCATTTTTTCAGCTCTTTCTGCAACGGCCCTTTTCAGAAGACCTTCCTTTTGTTAGAATCTTTGCTCTAAATGGCTTTGCAAATTCCTTTCCAGAAACAGACTGGCAAGCAGCTAACTGGCAAACGGTCCCAAAGTATGAATTGAGATGTCTGGACATATTATGAAACATCCTCTTTTCTTTCTTTCTTTTTTTTTAAAGGCTCTGTCTAAAGAAGTGCAGAGTCATGGCTTTTAAAGGAAGTTCCCAAACTCTGAGCAATACACTGTCTTTCATAGTCCTCCAGATCACTCTAAAATCCTGTTGAGCAGACATCCTCACCAGGCCTCCATGCCAACCGTCTAGGGCAGTGGTGCCGAACCTATGGTACGGGTGCCAGAGACGGCACTCAGAGCTCTCTCTGTGGGCACGTGCGCCATCACCCCAGTCCTAGGCCTTCAGCTGGGTTTTATAAAACCGTTTCGCTTTAGGCCTCCACCGCCGTATACAAAAAAAAAAAAAGGTTCAATCAATTTCAACTTCTCACGGGGGGGGGGGGAAAGATCTTGCAAAGTTGGAATTGATTGATTGAACTTTAGTCCCACCCAGTCTGCTGTTACCACCGCAGCCACGCCCACCCAATGGGTCACACCCACCCGGCACCCAACGATGCATAAGTGGGTTTTGAGTTGCAGTTTGGGCACTCGGTCTCTAAAAGGTTCGCCATCACTGGTTTAAGGTTACCCAAAAAGATAATAAGATTAGATGCACTCATTTTATGAGCAGCCTTTAAAAGGTCTGCTGTTTCTGGTTCAATGAAACCTTTGTTGTAGGGAAGGGGAGGTAACACGATACCTTTCCTGTGTCCTTCCCATGAAGGCCTCCCATTTTCCCTTTTCTCCCATTAGTAGTATTTATTATTTGTTTAAAAAATGCAGCTAGGTTCTTAAGATCTGGAGAATGCCTTCCAAAACATCAGCAGCATATGGAGGGTGTTTGGGAGGAGGAAATGCATGACTTTACATTTTCAATCCTGCTTGACACAAGGATGTTCTCTTGTGTTCTGCAAAAAGAGCCAATGGGTCACTTCCTGACTTTCCAGAGGAAGAGGTCCTCCATCCTTGGCATTCTGTCATCCAGAGAAGACTGTCTTACTGTTCTTTAACCAAACTACGTCAAGTGTGGGCCCCAACACTTATGTCTGGAACACCCTAGAACCTACACTCTAGGCTTATTTCAGAATGCAGCACTAGGTAACAAGCTGGCCTCTTGAGGATAGGGGGAGGCGTGGGAAAAGAGCAGGCAGGGGAGTCAGTCTGCCTACCTAATTCTTCTCTTCGATCAGAGAATTGGTGGGGCTGCTGAGGTCACTGGGGCTGCTAGGGATGGTGGGGGTGCTAGCATTGGAGGAAGTGCTTGCCTCGCTAGACCCCTTCTTGGAGTGCTTTCGCCATTCAGGGACCGGACCCATCATAGCTGGGGGCTTGATGTTCTGCCTGTCCTTTTCTGCCTCTTCTTCCTCATCATACCGTTCATCATCCTCTTCGGTCTCGCTGTGATGGGGGCTGGAGTGGCGAGAGATGGAAGGAGAGGGTGGGACCGAGGCTGGGCGTGGGTAGCGGAAACCCTGAGCCTGCAAAGTTGAGGACAGAGGAGCAGAGTGGATGGGGAAAAAAAGAACAGCAAAAAATCAATCAACGTCGCCTGGGGTCTCTTGTCCCCCCCCCCGCTTTCAACCACTTCTTAGATCCTCTGAACTCTCTTTTTGAAATCACACTGCAGGACCAGCATCCCAGCTTCTATTCCATTTTTCCAAGGTGAGAACACTACCTGCCCTTTGAGAACTGCAATCCAGACAACAGAAAAAAATGCAATCCATGAAATAGCCTTCTCTTTCATTAGCCACTTGGATTTACTGTTTTCTCATTCTAGCAGTTTGCAACTCAGGGACAATTTTGGAAAGAGGGTTACTGGAACCTGCATCATGGACTTTCAGCTGCAAGCTGTGCAATGGGACATTTCATCCTGTAGAATCTACTTTGCCCTTTTTTTAGAACCTTGAAGTTCACCTTCTGGAACTGGCTCAAATAAATGGACAGACACTACAAATTTGGGACATATGCCCAGTTGGGAGTTCGTGATCAACAGTAGAATCAAATCACATGCAAATCTCAATCCTTTCAGGCCTTTTTAGCAAGGCAAAAAATCTTTCTAGACCAGGGCTTTTCAACCTTTTCACCCATTGTATCACTTTTAGGATATGGCAATATCCGAGTACCACCAGTTGCCTAGCAAGGTGTCAAAAACATGATGACCAAAAAAAAAAAAAAAAAAAGGAAAGGAAAAAAGTGAAGTACAGGTAGTCCTCGACTTATAACAGTTCGCTTAGTGACTGTTCAAAGTTACAATGGCCCTGAAAAAAGTGCCCCCCAAGCCACAGCCGAGCAAGACACCTGCCTGCCCGCCTGCTCTTCCTCCTGTCCGAGGTTTCCATTGTTGTGAGCATTTCTGTTGAGGATTGGCAGTGGGGGTGGGGTGGGGGCTGTTTGGTTTTTATTCCCCCCCCCGTCTGCTGGGTGATTGCAGCAGGTTTTGGTCACTTCACATGACCCTGGGACACTGTGACCATCATAAATATGAATCAGTTGCCAAGCATCTGAATGTAAATCACAAGACCCTGGAGATGCTGCAACATTCCAGCTGATCGGCGCTTCTTCTGGGCTCAGCAGAAGTGCCAGGATTAGTGCTGCTTTCCAGCTGATTGGTGTTCCTTCAGGGCTCAGCAGAAGCACCAGGATTAGCGCTAAGCTCCAGCTGGAGCCCGGTGCTGATCCTGGCGCTTCTACTGAGCCCTGACAGCCCTGCAGCTTCAGCCATCTCTCGCTCAGGCTTGTGCGTGCTACCACCGGTTCAGCTCATTCCCCTCCCCCGCTACCACTTTTCTAGGATGGTCGCGTACCACCTGCTAGGTGCCAATGTACCACAGGTGGTACCCGTACCACTGGTTGAAAACCCTATTCTAGACACAGGTAGTTTTTAACTTACGACCACAATTGAGCCCACAATTTATGTTGCTAAGACAGTTGTTAAGTGAGTCTTGTCCCATTTTACAACCTTTCTTGGCACAGTTGTTAAATGAATCACTGCAATTGTTAAGTTAGTAACATGGTAGTTAAGTGAATCTGCCTTCCCCATTGACTTTGCTTGTTGGAAGGTTGCAAAAGCAGATCACATGACCCTGGGACACTGCAACCATAATGAATACATGCCAGTTGTCAAGCAAATGAATTTTGATCACATGACCACAGGGATGCTGCAACTGTCAGGTGAAAAATGACCATAAATCACTTTTTCTAGTGCTATTGTAACTTTGGTCACTAAATAAATGGTTCGTAAGTTGAGGATGACCTGTATTGAGCTGATTAGAAATCCATGCCACTCTACTGTGCATCACCAAGCAGTATATTTAGATTTACCTTTTGCCCTTCTTGCCTTTCATAAATTTGAGCTTGGTTATAATGGAACAATTGCATATTTTCGCTTTCATTCCTGCCTCTGTCTCTTCCCCATTCCTCTGAACTGATCTCCTAAGGCAGGGGGGTCAAACTTGCCGCATCACATGACATGTCTTGACACATCGTGACTTTTTTTGCATTGCCGCAGCTGGAGTGGGCGTGGCCTCCGTATGATGCAACCGGCCTGCGGGCCAGCAGCTTGACACCCCTGTCCTAAGGCCTTCAAAGCTGGGCCTGTTTTCTTAGAGTTTGTAAAACTACTTTCCCAACCTGATTGGTAAAGTCTGGGGGAGACTGGGGCACAAATAAAAATGAAAAAGAGCAAAGCTGGGATAAAACTGTGGCTTTTTAGGCAAAATCCAGGATATGGCAACAGACACTGGTTGGTGGAGTTGATGTTTGCATTTTTTCTAACTGACTGTGGCTCTCAAAGATCTCAGGCGTTACCACTTTTAAAAGATCCCATCCATGGCCGCTAGCAATTCTTTCAAGTGGATCTCCTGAATCTGAACTTCTGCCTTTAGGAGCTGCTGTATTAGTGGGCAATTGTCTGAGCTGATACTGGATTTTAAAAACTTACAACCACAACTGAGACCAGACTTTCTGTTGTTAAGCAAGATGGTTGTTAAGCGAATCACAGTAAATTTTACAGCCTTTTTCTGCCACAGGTTTTAAGCAAAAAAACTGCAGTTGTTAAGTGAATCCTGTGGTCATTAAGCAAATTGGGCTTCCCCCATTGACTTTGCTTGCTGGAAGCCAGATGGGAAAGTCTCAAATGGCATTCACATGACCCTGGGATGCTGCAACTATTGTAAACACATGCCATTGCCAAGCACGCAAATTTTGATCCTGTGACTCTTGCATCTAAGGATCGGCCTTAGTCACTTGCTTTCAATGTTACTCTAACTTGGAATAGTCACTAAATGAACAGCTGTAAATCAAGTTGTAAGAGGACCCTATATAAGGCTTAGGTCTCTTTCATCTCCCACAAGGGACCTTACTTACCGCAGTTGTTTCGTGTGGCTCATAGGTGAAGTTATCAGGGAAGGCCTTTGCAAGGGCCATATGCCGGGCATACATGTAATACTGCAAGGAAGAGTATGGTAGGAGAAAAGACAAAATGAACGCTGGGATTCTGCCCCCATTGCTGATTTTCTTCCTATTCCCACTGCAAGCCACAGAATCTGTTATCAGTCAAGCAGTCAACACACATCTGCTTTCCAAAACCCATTGAAAAGATTCCCCTTGGGCCCAGAACTGCAGAATCATCAACTTGGTTCTAAAACAATTGATTTCTGTCTTCAAGCGTTGATGGGATCAGGTTTCTCTACAGTCAGATTCTTTGATGGATGGAAGGAATGGGACTGATGAGGATAAGCAGGGGAGCTTTCTCTGATTCTACACTTAAGTTATGGCATGCTTTGCTCTGGGTGGCTCAATTTTTGCGTTGCATTTGCGTCTGTGTAACCCTCTTGGGAATCCATGGCTGCCATGAGTTGATATGGCTCAAAACAAGTGCTGGGTGAGATCGAAACATGGCCTCCCGCCTTCCCCATACAGAGTTCTTCTCCCCACCACCCAATTTTCCTTTCTGTAGATGGAGAAACAGAGGCAACTTTGTCAGTCTACAAAAAGGTGTCCAGCAAATTGGCAAATGCCAGATCGCTTCCTGAATTGCAAGATGATTGTGGAAAAAGTGACAGGTGAGGGATAAGGGCCAGTGAAGCAGGTGGGAAGCATGGCAGTTCATTAAAAAGATAGGTATTTTCCACCACTGTTTATTAGATCCACCTTCACCAAGATGGGGGCAATTCTCAGAATTCTTAGAAATGGCCAAGTTGGCTAAGGGGAAGTCTGGAAGCTGAAGATCACACATCTGGAGGATACCATAATTAGAGACCCATATCAATAGCTATGTCTTTAATCCTATAATCTATTTATCCTATAATCTATTTTATCTCCCCAGTTTTTCTTTATTACCATATCTTAGCATATACTTAAATGGACCTAGAATTTTACAATATTTTCAACAGTTTGTTGAACTTCCCTTTGATTTTAGGGATGAATGAACTTTGGGCCCCAGAATGAAGGCTTCATAAACATCAAAACAATCAGATGCTGCACATTTCTGAATAAGTGAAATTAATTCATATATGTAGCAACATCGCTTTGTATCACAGCTTGTGGAGTGAATGCTTTCCTATACAAATATAACTTTCAAAATGAACATTTTGAAGAAGATCTACAATACCTTTTTGCCTATAAGAAAAATGTGGGTAATCCTTGATTTGTGGCCACAATTGGCACCAGAACTTCTGTCGCTAAGCAAGGTGATGTTAAATGCACTAGTCCAATTTTATGACCTTTTTGCCATGTGAATGACTATGTTTTTTAAAATAAATCTTGTGATTGCTAAATAAATCCAGTTTCCCTCTCAGTGGAGGAGGGGCAATCTTTGCCTATCAGAAGCTGGCTGGGAAGGTTACAAATGGCCATCATATGACTCCAGGAGTCTGCAACCGACATAGAGACATGCCAGCTGCCAAGTGCTCGACTTCTGATCACATGACCACAGGGATACTTTGATGGTCATATCTGTAAGATGTTGTAAGTCACTTCTTTTCAGCACCGTTATAATTTTGAACAGTTGCTAAATTAACGGTCATAAGTCAAGGACTATTTATATTATTGTATGAGGAAACTTCCAGTTACCAAGTTTTCATTTAGGGGAGTACATGTGTGTGTGTGAATTGCAGTTACCACAGTAATATGCAATCTATCATTTGCTTTAGGGACTTCACTGATAACATTGAGTTGAAGAAGAATTTTTCTCCCTCATTTGTACTAGATTTTCTCTAAATTAGGAACTCAGGACCCGTATATGAAATGCTGTATATGAAATTTACTCTTTGGGTAAAAAAGATTTAATAATGATTGTTTATAAAGTAGATATTTTTTCCTTCTCAATTTTTTTTTCCTTTAAGAAAGGAAAATAATCCAATCACTTCAAATGCAGAGTTGTGTTCTGACGTGAACCAGAACCCCCCCCAAAAGCTGGCAATATTCCTGATCTGTCCTCAGATTTATTTCTGCTTCCAGGAAATTGCACAGGGCAGAAAAGTTATGACCATAAAAAAGGACTGGTTGAACAGGAAAGGTCCATCAGTGAAAAAAAATGGATAAAGTAGTATTTGCACTATATACCCTCTAGAGGCAAACATGAGGATTACAACACAGGAAGGAAAGCAGATGAACTGCCATAGAGAAGAGGAGGAGGACTATCACCATTGCATGTCACTGTGAAGAAAAAGCTCACCCTTCCAAGATATTTCCAATCCAAGAGATCGGAAAGCCTCTCTGTGCGGTTTCGCTGGATAATGCGCTGCCGCCGTGACTGCTGGCAGAAGCTGTAGAGGAAAGAGGTCAACTGCGTGCACGACTCATCCAAGCTTCGGAAACGCCTGTCTAAGATGTAGATCCCTGGTGGGAACCAAAAAGATATCAAAGCACGGCATCATCTTGGATTCAATACAGAGAGCTGACAACTGACCAAAGGAAGAAAAGGCTGATTCTTTTATCCCTAACTGAATGGCTGTTGCCTGAGATGCTAGAGCAGTGGTTCTCAACCTGTGGGTCGGGACCCCATTTGGGGTTGAACGACCATTTCACGGGGGTCGCCAAACAATGCAGTCTGCCATTTTTTCCCCCTTTTCCTTAGCTGTGCTACTCCCTTTTATTCTATTGACTTTTGAAAGCCAATAGAATAGACTCTCTTGAATAGAGTCTAATTCTATTGGCTTTCAAAAGCCAATAGGAATTGTCCAGGCTGTCTCTGCCCTGCTGAGCCCGCCAAAAGTCCCATTCTGCAAACGGTGCTGCACCAGTTGAGTAGTCCTCGACTTATGACCGGTTGAGTAGTCCTTGACTTACGACCGGTTGGGGGGTCGCGGCATTAAAAAGGTTGAGAACCACTGTGCTAGAGAATAATATACAGATGGTCCTCGACTTATAACCACAATTAGGACAGGAACTTCCACTGGTAAGTTAGGTGACTGTTATGGTTGCTCCCAATTTCATGACCTATTTTGCTATGGCTCTTAAGTGAATCACCATGGTCGTTAATTGAATTACATATTTTTTAAGTGACCCTGGCTTTCCCCATTGATTTTCCTTGTTGGAAACCAGCTGGGAAAGTTGCAAATGGTGATCATGTGACCCCAGGGCACTACAACTGTCATAAAGCCATGTCAGTTGCCAAGTATCCAAATTTTGATCATGTGACTGTGGGAACACTCCGAAAGTTGTTAAATATAAGGACTGCTGGTAAATCACTTTTTTCAGTGCTGTTGTAACTTTGAATGAATAGTCATAAATCAAGGATTGCCTGTAATGAAAAATGTTTTATCCAGTACATGCCTGCCTTTATGATGCTCCATTGTCAGGGAATTGTGCAGCTGGTATCCAAATGGAATCATAGATGCTGACTTGTACTTTTAGTTTTTATATAAATAAATATATTTTACATCTATATATATAGTAATAGTAATAGTAGTAAAGTTGGAAGGGACCTTGGAGGTCATCTAGTCCAACCCCCTGCTCGGGCAGGAAACCCTACACCATTTCGGACAAATGGCTGTCCAGTCTCTTCTTAAAAACTTCCAGTGTTGGAGCATTTACTGCTTCTGGAGGCAAGCTGTTCCACTGATTAATTGTTCTCACTGTCAGGAAGTTTCTCATTAGTTCTAGGTTGCTTCTCTCCTTGATGAGTTTCCACCCGTTGCTTCTTGTCCTGCCTTCAGGTGCTTTGGAAAATAGCTTAATTCCCTCTTCTTTATGGCAGCCCCTGAGATATTGGAATACTGCTATCATGTCCCCACTTGTCCTTCTCTTCGTTAAACTAGACATACCCAATTCTCGCAACCGTTCCTTATATGTTTTAGCCTCCAGTCCCCTAATCATCTTTGTTGCTCTTCTCTGTACTCTTTCTAGAGTCTCAACATCTTTTTTACATCACGGTGACCAAAACTGGATGCAGTATTCCAGGTGTGGCCTTACCAAGGCATTGAAGAGTGGTATTAATACTTCACTTGATCTTGATTCTATCCCTCTGTTAATGCAGCCAAGCACTGTGTTGGCCTTTTTGGCAGCTGCAGCACACTGCTGGCTCATATTTAGGTGATTGTCTACAATACAGAGAGCTGACAACTGACCAAAGGAAGACAAGGCTGATTCTTTTATGCCTAACTGAATGGCTGTTGCCTGAGATGCTAGAGCAGTGGTTCTCAACCTGTGGGTCGGGATCCCATTTGGGGTTGAACGACCATATATCAGATAAGACACTCAGACAACAGGAGCATCATCAGGTAAATCAAGAGCATATGGGACACACAGAAGAAAAAGGCGGGGGAAAAAAGTGAAATTCCCCCTCCACAGGCATAGCAACCAATCACAGCGTAGCAACCAATCAGCTATAATTGTGTGTTCTGACTCACTACACTCCAGCTATTAAATTTAAATATCTTAACATCTATCTTATACAGTAGATTGAAATGGCTCAATCTTCTCCAAGTGGAATACCACTGATCTTTGAATTTTTGCTCCCTTATGCCCCAGAAATCTTGCTTTAATCAGCTAAGACTGGGCTAGAACAAGTAGAATGGAATCACCCTCGGTCATTTCTCCCAATATTTTTTCCTCCAGAAATGTATAGATTGATCTACCCACCCAAATTATTCTCCCCAGATTCACCTGAAGGAATTATCTTGTGGTTGAGCAAGGGTTGCACATGTTCCCATTATGCCAATCCCTGTTTCCAGAGGGCCCAATGTGATACCAACCGTAGGCAGATGGATCTGCTATGTGTTCTTCCATGAAGCAGCCAAAGCCAGAGAGGTTGGTGGAAATGCTGGGGATCCCCATCACGGTGCATTCAGCTGGAGGATAAGAGAGAGGTCATTGGAGGACATGGGAGGATTAAATCCTCAAGAATTTATCTTGGAGCCTGTTCAATTTTGGTCACTTGAGTTTACTAAGCTTTCCACTCCCTACAGATTTTATGTACATATTAAGAATAGTAAACAACTATTTTATTATCACCAGAACTTTGTTGTAGGCATTTCAAGAGGCTTTGCTTTCCTCAAATTTACATTTACTTATCTGCCCTTCTTTTCCTTTCAGCCATGATTCATAATATAATTTTGTTTTTCTATCTCTTCCCTTAATAAGGTTCAGAAATGAGTTGTCATCCTTTTCTAGCCAAAGCCAAACTACTCACATAATTTATTTATTTTTTAATCAATAGATGATTTACATGATGTGATATAATCATAACACTACATAGTTAAGTGGAAAGCTGATTGACTACCGGGAAAGAAGGAAACAATAACCTGGAATAAGGCACAACTGGCTAAAAACACTAGCAATCTACTATAGTGTTTTATTATCGCCCCACTTGGATATTTCCAATGTATTTTGATGTCATATTACTTGTTCTGGACAAAGTTTCCTGATAAATTGTATATAAAACATGCACCTCTGTTATTTTTAATAGCTCCATCTCCTTAAACTGAAGAAGAAAAAGCCAACACTTAGAAAAGTACTTGATTAAGTGGGAAAATATGTAGGTGAATGGCTAAAAAAGGCCTTATTATTTGCAGTGGGCCGAACAATGATAAAATACACTAAAAGAAATGAATTTCAGATGAAAAATTCAAGACCATCTTGGCTCTTTCTCTTCCATCACTTTTGGAAAGCAAAGTTAATAGGGCTTAAGACTAACAAGATGCACGCAGAATTATGTGCAAAACATACTTGGCACAATCTTGTGACACTGTGGTATCCACTGATAACCTATGCCTGTTTGGTTGTCCTTTCAGACATATTCCCTTCCTCAATATCTTCAACAGTGGAAGTGTTTCTAAGGCATTGTCTTCACTGGAAAAGTTGGCATATATTCACAGAGGTATCCCTCTTGAAAATAGCCCATATTGAACTGTGTAGCACAGTCAAAGATCAGCATGGGAAATGTTGCAAGGCATTTTGTATTATGTTATAAACTGTTTTATGATAATTTTTGTCATAAAACATTTTATAAAATTTGCCCATTCTGAACCCCTACCTTGGTTCAAAAATGTAGCCCCAAAATAAAATGCACTATTTTATCCAGTGAACAATTACAGGAACAAGCACTTTACTAGTAGATAAATAATTTTTTTGCTCTGTTTATAAAGAGAAACTGAAGTACAGCCAAAATATTTACGTATTTGCTTTACTCCAAAGATGGTATAGTTGGGGAGACTGCTTGGAAATTTCAGTTTCACCATTAAAAAAAACAACAACAGGTGACAAAATGTAATTTTGTCCTTTTCTCTGAATACTTTCCTAGTTATTCTCATTTCCAACTGCTCTTTCAATTGTTCATATTTCTTGTTTTCTGGCAGTTAAAACTGATCATTATAATACACCACTTAATTATGCAAAAAATAAAATCTTATATTCATATGCAGGTAGTCCTTGACTTATGACTACATTTTGACCCACATATGAGCCCAAACTTTCTGTTGCTGAGCAAGGCAGTTGTTAACTGAGTTGAACCTCATTTTATGACCTTTTTTGCCACATTACTAAAAATGAATCACTGCAGTTGTTAAGTGAACCTGGCTTCTATTGACTTTGCTTGTTGGAAGGCAGTTGCAGAAGTTACAAATGGGGATCACATGACCCGGGAAAGTGCAACTGTCATAAACACACGGCAGTTGGCAAGCACTTGAATTTTGATTAATTCTGGGAGTTGAAGTCCACAAGTCTTAAAGTTACCAAGGTTAGTAATCTATTTCATTCTGTGTTTCTGACGACAGAAATATTAGGGCAGTGATGGCAAAACTTTTAGAGACTGAGTGCCCAAAAACTGGCCCCATCCCTGTTCCAGCCCCACCCCACCTGCCCAAAGAGCCACTCACTGCCTCCAGGGCCTGCCGCAGATCGCCCAGGCAGCCCAGCAACACCATGGTGGCCACGCTCTCTATCCACGCCCCACAGCATCAACTGTGCACGATGGGGCATGAGGGCAGAGTCTTGTCTACACTTGCTTGATTGCCATGTCTTTAGCTGCGCTGCTCTGCGTGGGCTACGCTCAGGGGTGACTCTCCTCCAGGGGGGCTGCTGATGAGGGGGTCGCGGGGGAGGCAAGGCTGGGATAACGGCACGTATGCCCACAGAGAGGGCTCCAAGTGCCGTCTCTGGCACCCATGCCATAGGTTCGCCACCACTGTACTAGGGTTTATTTTCAGTACCCAAGTACATTGGAACTGTATGTGTATGTGTGTGTGTGTGAATTGAGTCAATACCCACAAGCCTACCCTTACAACCCACCTACCTGGTGTGTAGCCCCATGGTTCATAATAGGAAGGAAACACCCCCAAATGGCAGCCTCTAACAAATTCTTCATAGTCAACAGGAAGCAACGGACTAGTGGAAGACAGAAATTCTGGATGGAAGATGACCTAGGGAGGAGAAAAGAAAAAAGAGAAAGAGATTGTATTTATTTGTTTATATACTATCAAACTCAAGAACCAGCTTCTAGTGATTTAATATAATGCAATATAGGTAATCTTCGACTTACAACAGTTTGTTTAGTGACTGTTCAAAGTTACAACAGCGCTGAAAAATGTGACATGATTGTTTTTCACACAACCACCAAAGCATCCCCATGACCACATGATCAAAATTCAGATGCTGGGCAACCGATTCATATTTATGACAGTTGTGCAATGTGCCCGGGTCATATGATCAACTTTTGTGACTTCCGACAATCAAAGTCAATGGGGAATCCAGATTTCATTTAACAACTGTGTCTCCAACTTAACAACTGCAGTGATTCACTTAAGAACTGTGGTAAGAAAGGCTGTAAAACGGGGCAAAACTCAACTGTTTTGCTTAGCAACAGAAATGGTAGTCTCAATTGTGGCCGTAAGTTGAGAACTACCTGTAATATTATTATGAATAATTATAAAAAAGCCATAAAACACCATAGTGATGTAATGAGGATACATTTGGAAACATACATCACTTCTGCTCTTGTAGGCACAGCCATCCTTAAAATTCTATATTGCATTTCATCCATGTGTATCTTTATGTATGTGCATATAGCTGATTCAGGTTTACGCTGCTAGTATTCAATTCATGTGTCTGTAAGGGATCATGATAATACAGGATCCTTTTAAAAAATAATATATTCCATGGAAATAAGCATTTAAAAAAGCAAGCTAAAAGTACAAAGATTCTGATAAACAGATAACTTCGTTTTAGGAACAAAGCCAAAAGATGAAAAGAAAAAATAATATGGCAACTATAAAACACAGTAAAATATGGCCATGTACCAATTACAATAAAACATTTAAAATACATTGGATGTATATCTAAATTGCATCCACTAAAAATTCTTATTATTATTCACAGCAACTATAGACACCAAGAATAAAAGAAAAGAGCCTGAATTCAAAAAATGCCAGCAGAGGAAATTCAGAATAGATTGCAAACCACCATTCTTTCCTTCAATCATTTTGGCTTATCATTATTACCGTAAGATTTCCAAGAATAAATAAAAGGTCGACAGGACAATTAAAAGACAAAAATTACCAGATAAAATCGGGCACAAAATATTATAATTGCCAGCATCATCTTAAAAATGCTGGAAGTTATAATATTTTAAAATGCTTTTAAAAATACTGTACTGCAAATATCTCCCCCAAATATCTCCCCTCACCTGGCATGGACAGGCACCTGTTACTCACCTTGACACGGTCGGCACTGCTATTGAAGAGACCGATGCGCCTGATGGTGTTCAGAATAGGGTCGGTAGAATCATCCAGCATGTTGTGAGTACAGATTGGGGGGAAAGAATGGCGCTGATTGAAGAGGGGAAAAAAAAAATCCAGACAGATGTTAACACCTCAGATTTAAAATCTTAAGTCTGGAAGAGAAGCAAAGCCTGTAATTCACACATTAAACTGAATCTAAGATACCTTCTATATTTTTCCTGCTTCTCCTACTGTGTAAATCTGGCAGGACAACACATGATGGTTACCTGAAGGAATCATTTTATATTTAAAGATGATTTCTCTCTCCTTTTCTCATATGTTTTCTGAGTGAAGAATGTGGATTTCCTGTCTAATCACAGAATGCATGAAATGTGTTTGGGGGCATGTGCAGAACTTAGTACTAGGAATCCTACATTCATCAGTGTTTATTTAATCACATTTCTTATGGCTACTCACTCCAGCAGACTTTGGGTGGATTACAATATATTAAAAAAACATTTGAAAAAAGTTAAGAAACACATGTAAGAAATGTGAAATCCTAGATCAGTGGTGGCGAACCTATGGCACGGGTGCCAGAGGCGGCACTCAAGAGCCCTCTCTGTGGGCACGCATGCCGTCACCCTAGTCCTAGGCCTTCAGCTGGGTTTTATAAAACCTTTTCGCTTTAGGCCTCCGCCGCCGTGTGCAAAAAAAAAAAAAGGTTCAATCAATCAGTCAATTTCAACTTCCGCGGGGGAAAAAAGATGGAATTGATTGATTGAACTTTTTAGCCCCACCCAGTCTGCCATTACCACTGCAGCCACGCCCACCCAATGGGCCACACCCACCCAATGGGCCACACTCAGCCGGCACCCAACGATGCATGTGGGTTTTGGGTTGCAGTTTGGGCACTCGGTCTCTAAAAGGTTTGCCATCACTGGCCTAGATTAAAAACAACCATACCAATAAAAGCATAATACAAAACATTATAGGGGAATCTCAGATACACTACCCCAGGCCTGAGAACTTTAAATGCTTTAAAGTCCTTCTGGAACCCCAGGAGAGAGGGTGCCACCCATGTCTCCAGGGGAATCTTATTCCTCATTCAGAGACCCTGGAAAGAAAGGCAGATCTCCACACACCTCAGTGTGGCATTCTTGACTTTATAATGGAATATTCTGGCTTATTTTCTACTGAGGTGCAGCTTTCACTGAGATGGTAAACCAGAGACTGAGCTGAAAAATTCCAGATGGGGAAAGAAGGGGAGGAGGATTAAATGTTCTTTTATACAAAACACAAGATCCTTCCTCAAACTCCGAACAATGTTCATCCCCCCCCCCTTTTTCTAAGACAAGTCCAGTAAAGCAAGATATCTTAATTAAGGAACACAAATCCAACATTCTTCTATGCAGTTATCATCTCTGTTCCAATTCAGCTTCAATCACAGGAGTCTTTTCTATCTCTAGAACCAGCATCGTCATTGCTGACAATTCAGAGTCAGAAGTCCACTCAGCCAATACGGGGAGGGCTGAATGAAAGCAACCTACAATCCAGGAATTTAGTTCCAGACTCCCAGAATCCTCTACTAACACTCAACTAGCTACATGTCCTTCTAAGAGACACTCAGCCTAATTGCAACCACCCAGAATTGCTTTGTGTGAGATGAACAGTCATATAAATAAATGGTTACAGGTAATCCTAAACTCACAATCACAATTGGGACCAGAATTTCCATTGCTAAGTAAAGGGGTTGTGAGTTGTGCCCAATTTTACAACCTTCTTTTGCCACAGTTAGTGAGCAGATTGCAGCAGTGGTTAAGTGAATTGTGTAGTTGTTAAACAAATCTGGCTGGCTGGGAAAGTCGCAAATGGCCATCAGAACCCCAAAATACCATTGTAAATAGATGCCAGCTGTCAAGTGCCTGAATTTTGATCAGAAATACTGCAATAGTCATATGTGTGAAGATTGGTGGCGAGTCACTTTTTTCAGTGTTGTTGTAACTTTGAACTGACTCTAAATGAATGATTGTTAAGTCGAGGAGTACCTGTATTATTAATGTGAAATAAACTCATTTTTCATGTGCAAATACTCTGACCAATTTTTTTCAAGACTCGTTTTTGTTCATGGCCTATACCTGAGTGGCAAAAATGGCTCTCTTCATCATTGTGAAATCTTCTTTGTCCAACATTTTGTTCATGTCAGGAAGGTTCCCCCTGAAATAGAAAAGCAGGCAATGAATAATGTGGAAATTAATAATATTTACAGTCCTCTGGGTCTAACAGAAAAAGACCTGGAAAAAAATGGAACTCTGATTTTATATATGGTGACGGCTGCCAGACTGCTCTACACACAAAAATGGAAGGATGTTTTGATCCCCACCAGGGACGGATGGCTACAAAAGCTGATGGAATTAGCAGAGATGGCTAAATTGACTGTTTTGATAAAAAAAAAACCAGGATCCTTTATAAGTACTTTTGTTTCTACTTGGAAACCGCTTCTGGACTTTGTGCTTGAGTTAGAAAAAAATGATATTATGATTTTGGGTTTTACTGATTAGACTGATTTGTTGATACAGAAATGGCTAGTTCATACTACTATAGAAATATAAAAAGTTGAGATTCGATGTTAATGCCTTATCCTACTGCCGCAGAGGGAGTTGGAAATTAATGCCTTTTTTTTCTTTTCCTCCTTTTCCACACTTCTCTTTTCCCCCCTCCCCTACTATTGTTCCTTACTATTTGTTTTTGTGTTTTTGTATTTTATGTTGTAAGTGAATAAAAATCCTTTTTTTAAAAAAAAATATTTTCAGTACTGCTTATCACTTGGATGCGCATTCTAGTTTTTATATCGGAACCAGGATTTCTGAAATAGGCTTCTATCAAATTAATACTTCTCAGAAGAGACAAGGCAAAGAGAAAGAGAAGGTCTCTTAAGTTCCCATTCTCTGTAGCCATGGCAACCCAGCAGTCCATTCTCCGATGCTCAGCACTTTATCATATTTCTTCTTGCCTTCTCTAGGAGACTTACACGAGGAGGGATTCGTACAGTTTTTTGCCAAACTTCTCCTTCACTGCGTTAGCTGTGTCCCTAGAATTAAAAAAAGGGAAAAAAGGGTGGGGGTAGGAGGGGAGGGAGGAAGAAATTATCATTTGTGACAGGACCTAGGATTCCTTGAATGCTTCTGAATCAAGGATTAAGAAAAACGGCTTCCAGTGGCTGTGGGATTTTCTTCCCAGAGAGAGTTAAATTAGATCTAACAGACTTGAGAAAAGAGGAAAACTGTCTCAATATCAGTATTTCTTCAGGTAGGGAGAAACCTTCCCTGTTCTGAGGCTTCAGAATAGATTGGACTTTGCCATAGCTCATAGACTGAAGGCCAAATTGGGTGAGAATTATGGGAATCTTTCATTACTACCTATGTGGTGCATTTTTATCTGGCTTTTTTTGAAAAAGCAATTTACTGGGAAGAGTCTCATTCACTAGCCTTATCCCCATAACATTTTCGCTTTGAGGTAGGTTGGACTACGTACAGGTTTTTGTTGATTTAAAAAATTCATTTAGTGGCTGTTTGAAGTTACAACGGTACTGAAAAAAGAGACTTAAGACAGTTTTTCACACTTATGACCGTTGTAGCATGCCCAAGGTCACATGATCAGTATTCAGATGCTTAGTCAATGGGAAAGCCAGATTCACTTAACAACCGTGTCACTAACTTAACAACTGCAGATTCACTTAATAACTGTGACAAGAAAGGTCATAAAGTGGAGCAAAACTCAAGAAATGCTTCAGTCAGCAACATAAATTTTGGGCTCAATTGCAGTCGTAGGTCAAAGACTACCTGTAGTAGCCATTGGGCTAAAAGCTTAAGATTTATGTTAAATAAAGCCTAAGAACAATTCTACTCTCCCCCATTTTATCTTTGCAATCCTCTAATTTGTATACTAGTCCTTGATTTATGACCACAATTGGGATCAGATTTTCCACGGCTGAGCAAGGTGGCGTCGAATTGTGACCAATTTAGGATCGTTTTTGCAATGGTTATTAAGTGAATAACGGTAGTTATTAAGTAAATCATGCAATTGTTAAGTGAATTCAGCTTCCCCTATTGCAGTGGTTCTCAACCTTTTTAATGCCGTGACCCCCAACCGGTCGTAAGTTGAGGACTACTCAACCGGTCGTTAAGTCAAGGACTACTCAACTGGTGCAGCACCATTTGCAGAATGGGACTTTTGGCGGGCTCAGCAGGGCAGAGACAGCCTGGACAATTCCTATTGGCTTTTGAAAGCCAATAGAATTAGACTCTATTCAAGACAATCTATTCTATTGGCTTTCAAAAGCCAATAGAATAAAAGGGAGTAGCACAGCTAAGGAAAAGGGGGGGGAAAATGGCAGACTGTGTTGTTTGGCGACCCCCGTGAAATGGTCGTTCGACCCCAAATGGGGTCCCGACCCACAGGTTGAGAACCACTGCCCTATTGACTTTGCTTGTCAGAAGCCCGCTAGGAAGGTGGTAAATGGCCACCACATGAGCCCAGGATGCCCCGACCATCCTAAATATGTGCCAGTTGCCATTTGCCTAAATTCTAAATTCTGGAGAATGCTATGATGGTTGCAAGTGCAAGGACCAGTTGTATCTTGCATTTTTCTGTGCCATTGTAACTTTGCACGTTCACTAAATGAACGTTATATCTGGTTAGAGAACTAAGACATTTGAATGATTTACCATATATCAGCACATCCTTTCCAAATGTACTTTGAACTTGTATGGGCAATTTGGTTTTCCTGATAAGGAAGGTTGGTGTGATGTATTTTTATTTCATTCACTACAAAGCCTGATACAAAAGAAGCCTGTTACAAGGACAGATTTATGAGATCCAGAACCTGACACAAACTTACCAGAGCTGTTTGCGGACGGCTTGGCCTTTTAGTGTCTCCACGTTGAAATTATTTGTCCTAGCTGGCATGATAAAAAATGCTACTACTGTAATCTGGCTTCCATTCACCTATAGAGAGAAGCCACAAAAAATGGGTATGAAAGATCACTAGAGTACTTTTAAATATGGTCAAACCTGCTCCCTGAAACAGTAGATAAGCTGACCCATGTTAAAAGAGTTTAATTAATTGAATTCATAATTTGTTTTTAGAATTCATCTTTCCCCCCATTCTAATATGTTGTCAGTTCCTCACGAGTCGTTTGCATTAGTCTTACAGCTTAAGGACTCCTGAGGTGCTTATTAAAAAGCAGAAACTCACATGTTCCAGGCAGATAAATGAACAATAGCCTAGAAATATGACTATGCTTGGCAAGGATGAGGAAAACTGGATGAATAGATGGATAAATCAAGAATGTTCCTGGGATGTTCTTGTAGGAGCTACATGATGTCCAAGAATCATGAAACTATCATTTAATCCCAGGAAAGGATTCGTGACAATAAGGCTGGTGTGAACATCTACAGCTAATATGGATCTGAAATGCAATACGTTCTCTCTTCCTTTCTATTTTCCCTAGGACTGGGTTGAAGAGAGAACTCCTTATGGCTAAAACATCTCAGCTGGACAGATTAGGAGATGATGGCCAGACTGGGAGTCCTTTATTATAAGTATCTTTTCATGGGGTATTCTTGGGATATGGTTCAATTACCACTCCTGCCAGCTTAAAATAGTTCCAATATATTCTTCCTGCTTTCGTCCAAATGTATTCTGTGTAGTCATTCTACCCATTGTCTTTCCTCTCTACAACAATGTAAGGGTGAAGATAAATCCAAAAACAATTTCCAGATTCCTTGGGCTACAGTTCCTTAACTCGAGACACATGGTTGTCCCATTGCTGTAGGCCATGGGTCCCCAACATCGGTCCATGGACCAGCACCGGGCCACGGCATGCCACAAACCAAGCCGCACAAACAAGCAAAGCCCCCTCCATGGGATGCAGGCAGCATGCGAAACCACGCCCCCTGTGGTTCATGGAAAAATCTCTCTCCACATAACTGGTCTCTGGTGACCAAAATGTTGGGGGCCACTACTGTGGGCCATACCCTCTCAATACAGCCACATCTAATTGCCTGCCCACCATCTTTTACATCTCGTTCCATTATAGCCCCCATTTTACTAATCACCCTCAGCAGGTAGTTGAGCCTCGCTAGGGCTTCCAAGAAAACGTCAGCTCCTTTGTTGGAGTATTCATAGCGTCCAGCGATGAAGAAGAAAATAGTTTTGTCCAGGTTGAAGTCCAGGTGCCTAGGAAAATAACACATAGTAATGGTGAAGATGACTCTAAGTCCAAGCTTGAAAAACCAGAAATCTTATGTAATTTAAAAGCCAAGACAAGTAAATTGTCTAAATAAATAAAAAGACGCACTAATAGATTAGAAATATCCATGGTGCTTATATCAACAACCACAACATTGCAAAAATAGTTGGGGGAATCCATGGGGGTGGGGTGGGGGCTGGAACATCATCCGACCCAATATGAAGAAGCAAGTGCCCTGTGTTCAACAGAAATTATTTTTATGCCCTAGAGCAGACATGTCAAACTCGCAACGTCATGTGACGTTGCACAACATATGGGGCCGGTTTTGCCATTGCTGACAATGGGATGGGTGCGGCTTCCACATAATGCATCTGGCCTGCGGGCTGACAGTTTGACACCTCTGCCCTAGAGAGAAGAAATCAAAAAAAGTTTGGTATAGTATTTAAGTTAAAGAATGAAATTTGCACTTTCCAAATCTGTATAAACCAGAATACAATCATCCTTCAATGTTTATACTTTTCTGGTAATATCACACACTCTTCCCAAAAAACTGCTGGGAAAAACTTTTTTTATGGATGGGATCAATGTGCATACTTAAATAGTTGTGAGTCTTCCCTAGCAACATGCAGCAAAATGTTTTAAAATGAAGTGTGTGTGTGTGTGGGGGGGTGTATTTCAAAATAGCTCTTTCTCACACACACACACATATGCAGAATATACAGCTGGCAGAAATCTTTTTTTTTTAAAAAAAAAAATCTTAATAGTTCCCTATTAAGTCACAATGGTATTATTTATTAAGCATTAGACATGCAAACTATGAATGCAAAGTGGAAAAACAAAACAAAAAAGAGATAGAGCTCCATGTGTGGGCATTTCTCAGTGCAATAAAAACAGAAAGGAGAATGGACAAGAAAATAAGAAGCAAGAACAGGAAAAATGTCAGACCCGTGACAGATGAGGGAAGGCAAATAGAAGCATAGATAGGTAGTCCTCGGCTTACAATAGCTCGTTCAGTGACAGTTCAAAATTACAATGGCACTGAAAGTGGCTCATGACCATTGCAGAATCCCCATGGTCATGTCATCAAAATTCGGGCACTTGGCAATTGGTTCATATTTATGACGGTTGCAGAGTTCCAGTGTCACCTTTTGCGACCTTCTGATAAACAAAGTCAATGGGGAAGCCAGATTCACTTAAGTTGTTACTAACTTAACAACTGCAGCGATTCACTTAACAGATGTGGCAAGAAAAGTTGTAAAATGGGGCAAAACTCACTAAGCAACTGTCTCACTTTAGCAACAGAAATTTTGGTCTCAATTTGGTCATAAACTGAGGACTACCAGTATTTCTAATGCAGTTTGATTTTCATTAATGTACAGATGCCTATAACCTGAATAAGAAAGCAGTAGTTCTTCATTTAGTTATTTATAAACCTATTCTTTATGAATAACAAATGATTTTTCTCTCATAAGAGTGTCCAGGAAATTTTTTTCAATACCTCATTCTTTGATTCTGCTAGCCTTGAGCAAAAACAACTGCTCATTTTTCCTACTCCTCTTTGAAAGTTATTAACATTATTTATTGTCTATTATTAATTTATATCCTGCCTTTCCTGTGAGAGCTCCTCCCTCGTCCAATTTTCCCTTTTTGTATTCTGTCAAAGTGGCATCTCTTGTTCTCCATACAGAAAGGAAATTTATTTTGCCTAAAAAGTGGAGACCCAAACTGAGTCACTTTCAGGTGGGAAGAATCAGGACCACATCTTAAATTCCAGTTAAAATTTATTGCTCAAGCCTATACACAAGAATCTAGTCAACTAACAGTCAGCACTAAATTGACACTAGATAAGAGTCAACATAATTCAAGGGGGGCTGGAGGTGAATCATTTGTGGCAACATAACGACTCCAGATGAATTCCTCTCTTGACTCCACCCCCAGTCTCTGCCTCTTCTTCTACTCTTTTAAAAGGAAGAACACTAAGCTTTCACTTTACACTTGAAGGTGTGTTATGACAACAACATTGTGGAAGATGAATGGAGCACAAATAGTCATTTGTTTTTAATTCATGAATATTCTTACATCACTTGTCACTACTAGCTTCAGTTTGTCCCCTAGAAACTCAGCTTCTTAGGGCAAGCTGTTATAATTGATATGATACTAGTGAAGCTAATGATAACTCACCCGTAAAAATGGCCTCGGACAAATTCCTGGATACGAGCTTTGCTCTGGGCATGGAGGTTTTGGAATTCATGCATAGCAGAGAACTTCTTGACATTCAAACCATTGGGAGTCACAATATCTGGATATGCAATGCATATGGAGATGGGTTTTGTAAAAAGTGGGGAGTTTTAGCACTTTAAGTTTCTGAATTTACTCAAGCTGCAATGATATATGTGCAGAAAAGCACATGTGTGAGTCACAACAAGTGTTTTCCCAAATGTATTCAGCTTCCTCAGACATCCTTGAAAATATAATTGATGAATGCCTTTGAGAGCAACTGATTCAATGTATAGGAATGGATGGGTAAAACAGACCCCAAGGAAAAGGAAGGGGAGTGGTCTTGCGACATCACAAGGAGCCAGCCAATCAGAACTACTAGTCTTAACTGCAAATAAGAATAGACATTCTCCTCCTCCTACATCCCTTTCTTTATTCTGAAAAAGGATAAGCAGGCTGGTCCTTAAAAAAAAAATCACTGGATACAATCAAAAATTCACAGTACATATTAAGATTAAATATTTTTAAGAATTTTTAAAATGAATTGTAAAATGGTTATTTTATATCAGGAATTCTTTCTATCTAAGAAAGAGATTAAACATCAAGCTTCAACGTAAGATTTCTAGCAGCAGTCTAATTAATATTGTTTAAAGACTAGAAAATTTCATTAAAAACTACCAGACCTGAGATTCTGCATTCTACGCAAAGCAACCAATTTCCTTGTAATATTATTCTGCACATAAATCAAAGAAAGCTCAAACTGGATAGGATCTTGTCACACAAAACAATCGTTTAGCTTTTAAGGCAACTCACCAGGTTTCCGTTTTAACAGATGTTCAGCTTCTACTGCTGTGATTTGAGAAACTGTAGTAAAAACATGTGTGCAGTGGATAGCAGCTCTTTCCATACAATAACGATGGTAAATTTGCCGATCTCCAGCTTCCTTATCCACATTAAACTGGGGGCAAGACAAAGTATATTAAACATCCTGAAATGCACAGAATTGCATGGAGTAAAAGCAGGAAAGAATACAGGCAGTCCTCGACTTATGACCACAACTGAGCCCAACATTGCTGTTGTTAAGTGAGACATTTGTTAAGTGAGTTTTGTCCCATTTTACAACATTTGCTGCCACAGTTGTTTAATGAATCGCTGCAGTTGATAGGTTTGCAACCCGGTTGTTAAGTGAATCTGGCTTCCCCATTGACTTTGCTTGTCAGAAGGTTGCAAAAGCGGATTGCGTGACCCTGGGACACTGCAGCCATCGTAAATATGAACCAGTTGCCCAGCATCCGTATTTTGATCACATAATCACCATGGGAATGCTGCAATGGTGGTTTAAGTGTGAAAAATGGTCCTAAGTCACTTTTTTCAGTGACACTGTAACTTTGAACGGTCCCTAAATGAACTGCTTTAGGTCAAGGGCTACCAGTAGTATCTTGATGGTTGAACAAAGGAGAATGCAATTCAATAATCTAATTTCCAAGACTCTAAGAACTTAATAATTCTACAATTTTTCTTTGTGAAATTCATTTGTAATCCTCTCACGAGTGCTAACAAATGGGTGCCTTGACTGAGAGTTAGAAAAACTGAGGATAGCTTTTTTAGCGTTTTCTCTTCTTAATCCAGTTCCAACTACAGAGAGCCCTCAACTTATGACCATAATTGAGCCCAAACTTTTTGTTGTTAAGTGAGACATTTGTTATGGGTTTTGCCTCATTTTACAACCTTTCTTCCCTCAGTCATTAAGTGATTCACTGCAGTTGATAAGGTAGTAACATGGTGGTTAAGTGCAGGGCTTTTCAACCTTTTCACCCATCGTACCACTTTTAGGATATGGCAATATCCGAGTACCACCAATCACCTAGAAAGGTGTCAAAAACTTGATGACCAAAAAAAAAAAAAAAGGAAAAAAGTGATAAAGTACAGGTAGTCCTCGACTTACAACAGTTCGCTTAATGACTGTTTGAAGGTACAATAGCACTGAAAAAAGCGCCTCCCAAGTCACAGCCAAGCAAGACATTTGCCTGCCCATCTGGCAGTGCTCTTCCTCCTGTCTGAAGTTTCCATTGTTGTGAGCATTTCTGTTGAGGATTGGCAGTGGGGGTGGGGTGGGGGAGGTGTTTGGTTTTTATTCCTCCCGTCTGCTGGGTGGTTGCAGCAGGTTTTGGTCACTTCACATGACCCTGGGACACTGTGACCATCATAAATATGAATCAGTTGCCAAGCATCTGAATGTAAATCACAAGACCCTGGAGAGGCTGCAACATTCCAGCTGATTGGCACTTCTGGGCTCAGCAGAAGCACCAGGATCAGTGCTGCTTTCCAGCTGATTGGTGCTTCTTCAGGGCTCAGCAGAAGCACTAAGATCAGCACTGAGCTCCAGCTGGAGCCTGGCGCTGATCCTGGCACTTCCACTGAGCCCTAACAGTCCTGAAGAAGTGCCGATCAGTTGGAAAGTGGCACTGATCCTGGTGTTTCCGTTGAACCCTGACAACCCTGCAGCTCCAGCCATCTCTCGCTCAGGCTTGTGTGGTGCTGCCACTGGTTCAGCTCATTCCCCTCCCCCGCTACCACTTTTCTAGGATGGTCGTGTACCACCTGCCAAGTGCCAATGTACCACAGGTAGTACCCATACCACTGGTTGAAAAGCCCTGGTTAAGCTTATCAGAAGGTCGCAAGAGGTGATCACATGACCCAGGGACACTGCAACAGTGATAAATATGAACCAGTTGCCAAGCATCTGAATTTTTATCACATAATCATGGAGATGCTGCAAAGGTCATAACTGTGAAAAACGATCATAGTATGGTTACCCATACTCGGTAGCGTTATCAGTGTGACGGGAAGTTGGGTTTGCTCTGTTTCTATACAAGTGAGTTGCTCTGACAGTATTGGTGGGAATGTCTTGGTGGTTAATCGATTAGGCTGTTGTTTACTGTTTGATTGTTTGTCTGAGTTGGTAGTTTCTTGAGCAGAGTATTGCTTACTATTTGATGGCTGATCTAGTATTAATCTTGATATTAATTTCTGCTTATCTGAGTACTGATGGCAGGCAAAGAGATATTTGGGTCATTTTGTTTCCTTTTTAGCTTTTTGATTGTCTTTTTTGAACGGCATGTAGATGTTGTTTATATCTCTGTGCCTGTTGATGGCTGATTTGTCTGAATGCCACACTTCCAGGAATTCTCCACCCACCAATCGATTTTCAATTCTAATGGTTAAAAGACTCACAGTCTGCAGATTGTTGTAGAAGTCCACACTTCCTGCACACAGGTAGCGGCCAAGCAGGGTAGCATGGGTGGTGAAGATAGTAGCTATTGGAAGTTTCCGGATCCGACAGAGGAAGAGGCCAACACCAGATAGCCACTCATGGAAATGACCAATGATGAATGGCTTTTCTTCACACTGTGCAGCAAACTGTACAAAAAAACAGAAGAAGAGAGTGAAGAGAAAGATATTGGGAGAGAGGAAAGGGAGAAGTTTTCTGATAGAAACATGTTGCCTTACCTCCCCTAGGAACCAGGCTGTGAGGAAGCCAAAGAGGACGGCGTCATTGGCCTCTCGGTCATACCAGGGAATCCCAATGGAGCAGCTTTCCCACAATTCAGTCTTCCAGCGATCCAAGCTCCAAGCGGTTGCCCCAATATCAATGAGGATCACATATGGACCCCCCTCAATCAGCCAGCGGCCAAAGTAAACCTAGACAGACAGCAGATTAATGAATAGCAGAGGTATAAATTGACATTTTTGTATTTAATCCAGAGATATTCTGTAAAGCACAATCAACAAAGCATCAATCATAAAGGACAGTGCTCAATTAAGCAAATTTTATCATCAACTTAATAATATCCACACTCATGAGGTTATGTTCTAGAATGATGAACAAGCATTTTGTCTCTCAGATTCTTGAAGGAACATGCATAAGGGGATCTTATATAAGGAAGTTCCACATATACTTCTACTTTAAATCATCTGAATTTTCAGCTCTGCTTATTTACATGTTCAAACTTTGTCTTTTGTTTTGTGTGCTAGAAATATAATACATCTTTTTTCTGCAGAAGCTGAAATACTTCAAGCTGAAATACTTCAACTTTATACCCATTAGATTTATCAATGGAATTACGAAAAAGCTTCTTAAAATTATTTGTGTATACATTTAATGTGGAATCTGTACATGCAAGGAAGCTTAGATCATGACTTCTGCACTTCAGATTTTGCAGACCTCCAAATCTGAGGAGAATATCTCGGTAACTTATTTTTAACTCTCAAATTCTCCAAATGCTTTACTTTCCAGTGGACCTTGTAAATCATGACTCCATTTTAATCCAGTACTCTTTTTCTCTTTCATCTCTCAGACCTGCTTTAATTTATGAGATCATCACCCCTTCTCCACTCATTTCACATACCAAAGTGTACAGAGATATGTGCACCATGTGTGTTTGTACATCTCTAATTTTAGTCTCTGGTTCATGTTACCTCATCTCCATTTATAAAAGGTCGCTTTGCCTGGGGTTGTTTTTTGCTGGGCAACCCAAAATAACCTCTTGCTCTGAAATGAGGTTAGGAAAAAGAAAAATCAAGTAAAAAAAGAGGGAATATTAAATGTATGCTATATGTACCTTCCATACTGGAAATAGTCAATATCTACATTCAATAGTTCCAGCATACATTTAAATGTGTTTTTATACCAGTGTTTTCCTGCTTGCTTGTAACTGTTTTAGGGAACTGATCATAATATATCTGATATCGTATCCAATTTGGAACCAGTACTTACATGATACAAAGATAAGCCAAAATTTCTGGCTAATTGGATGAACAATATACAGATCTGTGCCCAGATTAATAATCATAGTTTTGGGAGCTGTAAACCAGCATTCTTGGGTTTTGTCACAGTGGCTGGGGTCTGTCATTGTTTTCCACAGTTAATCAATTAATGGGGACTTGTCTATATATGTGAAGTCCCACAAACCACATGCATTAGAACATACCGATACATTTTTCCTGTCTTCTTCTGGGAAGGGAATGTGAGCAAATATGACTATTTGCATTTGTACAATAACTCAAGAGTGAGAAGACAATTCGGCATTATCTTAATATTTTAAAATATTTGCTTACAGATATGCAGCAGCAAAAAAACCCCACAATACAAATCTTTTGCTCATCTGTTTTCTAATGACTTTAAAGTGGGCATGAGACTCCCTGGGTCCTTCAGCAGTTATGGGATCACAGCTCTCCTCATTCTTATCTTTGTGGTGATTCTCACTGGCATGGATGGAAACTGGAGTTCAACAACTTTAGAAGAGTACAGATTCCTCCTTCTACACCTGCACCTTGAAAGAAGATGCCTTCCCATGCAAATATTCCCCATACTTGTGGGTTGCATCACGATGATGCAGTTTTGAAGCCTGTAGCATAATGGCAGGACCCTCATTCTCTTTGCACACAGAAAGTCCCAGCTTCAATCCTTGCCAGCTCTGATTAAAATAGGGCTGGTGGCCTTTTGCCCATTCCCAAAATTCATTCTATAGCTAATAGATCAAGCTGTCAAAATCTGGCAGCAAGGCAAACGTTTCTCAAGTGAAATAAATGAAATAAAGGTTACCATAGATGTGTGAGATTTCCATTAAGCTCAACTTACTTATTTTTTCTTTAAATCTACCTGAATTTCCCTAAAAACATTTTGCAGCCTTTCAAGAGCCAGGGATTTGGGGAGGGGGGGGGAGGATTTCCATATTCATGACATATCCTCATAGATTTGGAAATTGAGAAGAGAAGTAAAAACAGATGCCTGGCATTAGAATGATCTTCAATGGCAACTAACATTTATTTCTTGCGCTACATCGCTGGAATCCTAAATTGTTCTTGATGTTCCTATGTAAAGATGAACAGATTGGGCCACCAACAGGCAGAAACCTTTAGAGTAATCTCACTGGAGATGGCCTGGAGATGAAGAATGTTTCTTTTACTTTGAGGGAGAAGAGGATTAAACTATCTGTAGGATGCCTTCACCTGGGCAGAACCTCCACAGTCCTGGTCCTGAAGAAAGAACTGGCAGAGCTATTGTGACTTCCGCAGCTTCTCTCCAAGTGATTGAAGGTGTTCAGGTGCAAAATAGTCCAATTGCAAAAGATCAAACACCTTTTGCTGGCTGAAGGGAGACTGATGCTTCTAAACAGCTTTCCAGCAAGGTTTCCAACTATCTCATAATCTGGCCCAATTTCTCCCATTGATGGAGGTCCATTTAATTAATTTAACTAAGAGTCATTTCTTTTTATCTTCTTGTCCTTTTTAATGCATCAAAAGTATACAAACAAAAAAAGAGGAAAACTAATTTTACAAAGGAACCAATGATCTTAGACAAGTTGTTTCAAAATGTTCATATAGCCCGGAGTTATTTATTACACAAAGATTGTGGATTCTTGGAAGTACAGTAGTATCTCAAAAGGTGTCCACAGTGAATTAAAGTAATAATTTTAAATGTTGCATAAATCTTGCACAATTTCAGCATTCTCATGGAAGACTTCACCAGATTTCAGAGTGAGATTGCTGAGATTCTATGACTTTTGGAAACCTTATAATATCTCAGGATTTGTGTATGTGTGAGTACACTGCAAGAATCTCCTGGTTAGAAGAATATAGGCAACCTGATACAGGTAGTCCTCGACTTATAATAGTTCTTTTAATGACTGTTTGAAGTAACAAAGGCATTGAAAAAAGTGACATGATTGTTGTTCACACTTATGTCCATTGTACCATCCCCATGGTCACATGATCAAAATTCAGGCATTTGGCAGCTGACTCATATTTATGATAGCTGCAGTGTCTCAGGGTGATAGGATCGCCTTTTGTGACCTGACAAGAAAGTTAATGGGGAAGCCAAATTCACTTAACAACTGAATTACTAATTTAATTTCTGCAGTGATTCACTTAACTGTGGCAAGAAAGGTCATAAAATGGGGCAAAACTCATTTAACAAATGTCTCACTTAACAACAAAAATGTTGGGCTCAATTGTGGTTGTAAATTGAGGACTACCTGTGTTGGTCTACAAGGAAGTCTCTATGTTAGACTGGCCAGCATATGACAAAACTGATCATAAGTTTCTATATTATAAGCATGTGACATAGTGTGACTCACATGGAAATATGGTCTACACCTTCTTCAACTTACTAAAAAGAATTATTGTATCTAAAACCTGGATTGATCAAAACCTCCTGGATGGTAGAGAGCAATACACATGGGTTCATCCAATGGTGATCAATGATTTGAAGCACTGTAACTTAGAATATAACTGTAGCAAATAGTAAAAACATGAAATTATAAAATAGGAAAGTTAATTGCCCAACTGTAATTCTTTAACAGAATTCTTAACAAATAGTTCAACTTTAAACAGGAAGTAAGACAAGAATGGGTATCCCCTTGATTGCTTAATGCATTCATGGATAATGCTTGAAATGTTATTACAGTTGTGTAATTTGGGGACATGAATAGGTGTACTTTTGTGTGCACAAATGATTTCCAACAAATATTAGACAGAGCATATGGTGCAATAAGAAGTATGGATCTAAACACTCTATCAGAAAACAAAGTATTTGCATCTGACAACAAAAATGAACAATTGTAAATTATTCAGAAATGGCAAAAATAGATGAATTTGCATCCATGATGTTTGTTAAATATAGAGAAATGGATAGAGAAATTTTAAGATGTGCAAATGCTGAAAAAATATAGTAAATAGTCTATTATGAGAATGTCTATTGAAAGACATATAATGGATGTGTATAAATGTAGATTTCTGCCTACATTTTATAAAGAAATGAAAGTTGAATATATCAGAAGAAATGCAGTGTGATGGGAACGGAGTACTTAATACAGTCAAAAATCAATCAGTGCTGAATGGATGAATCAAATACGAGAGAGACCACTATGAAAAATATATATTGAGATACTCTGGTCATATAGAAGATATTAATAGGAGTCACATTGCCAAACCAAGGTAAGATGGAAGAATGAGTGGGTTGGGAGTAACCAAGAAAATTGTGTTGGGTGGAGTTGATGAGATCCTCAAAAAGAGTGAGAAGTTTAAAGAACGAAATATATGAAATTATGTACGCATATAGTTTACAAGGACAGTTTGTAAGAATATAAAGAGGTAGTGATGGTATTATGAGCTACAGGTAATCCTTGACTTATAATACTTCATTTAGTGAGTGTTTGAAGTTACAACAGCACTACAAGTGACATGACTGTTTTTCATACTTGCAACCACTGCAACAGCCTCATGGTGATGTGATCAAAATTCACACGCTTGGCAACTGACTCACATTTATGACTATTTCGGTGTCCCAGAGTGATCACTTTTTGCAACCTTCTGACAAGCAAAGTCAATGGGAAAGCCAGATTCGCTTACCAACTATGTCTCTAACTTAACAACTGTGGTGATTTATTTAACAACTGTGGCAAAAAAGGTTATAAAATGGGGCAAAACTCACTAAGCAACATAAATGTTGGGCTCAACTGTGGTTATAAGTCGAGCACTACCTGTACTTTACTTACAATGCCTTCATTTCTCCAGCTTATAATATTTATACCTTTTCGCATGGCATTATGTTGGTTAGTCCAGGATGAAACAGAGTGCTGGATACGTATATATGCATCTATGTAGATTCCTCAGAGATAAAGTTATCTCTAATTTCCTCTGACTTGAAATTCTTTCTTCCTAGCCTAAAGTAGAGCCTTTACCTATCACTAGCTACTGACATTCCTTTTAAACTAGAATTATAATGAACTGAATTGAATATTCTTGTTGTACCGCTGTATCCATAAACATTCCTCACCAACAAAGGCAAAGAATTGCTTCTGAGAATTAAGCCAACTGAGGCGTAAGTCCCACATATTTCCCCCCCCCCCAATCCTGCAGTCTCTTACTTTACATCCTTTTGAATTCATGGAGTCAATGGTTCGGCGAATGGCAGGGTGGGGGGGGTCTATCAGCTCCACCTGTGTGCGCACATTCAATTCCAGGTAAGGTCCAATCAGAAAGTAATTCTCGCCCCATTCATCCAGTGTAATCTTGGCTTTTGTTTGGATAACAGTGAAGATCCCACCAACTGAAAGAAGAGAGAATAAGTATTTGTTTTCTCCTTGCATGCTTGTAAATTATCCTGAGCACCCATCTTAGTCAAGAAGCTTTAGAGCAGGGTGTCAAACTGCCAGCCTGCAGGCCGATTACATCATATGGAGGTCCGTGCCCAGCCCAGCTGCGGCAATGCAAAAAAAGTCACGATACCTCGGGACCATCAGGTGATGTGCCAGAGTTTGACATCCGTGCTGTAGAGCAATGTAAATTTACTATAGTGCAGGTTTTCTCACTCTTGGCAATTTTAAGATGTGTATGGACTTCAATGCCCAGAATTCCTCAGCCAGCTTTGGAAGTTGAATTCTGGAAGTTGAAGCCCATATATCTTAAAATTGCCAAAGTTGGGAAAATCAGCTCTAATAGCTTTATTTAATGCAATTTATTCTTCTACATTGTATGGATATGCTAATACATCCTGAATATATAAAAAACAACATAAACCTTTTAAAATAAATCTAAGAATGTACAGATGTCAGTATCTGATCAGCCTATGCTCACTTGACTCTAAATGTGAAATTCATCAGCTGTAGCTTCAGGACAGACAAAGTAGAATATTTTTTCATATAATCCCTTTTAAATTACTGCAGATTTTGCTAACACAATGTTTTTAACCAGGCTGCTGTGCAATTATGGGAACTGTAGTCATCACCTATCAGGTGAAGATCAAGGTAAGCTGGTCAAAGTTGAATTACATCGTTCTTCACAATCTAAATATGTCTTTAAAAGTAACTTTGATTAATGCATGGAAAATTGGCCTGTTATTGGCTATTGGCCCCAATGGCTGTTTCAATATTGAAATTAGGCAAATGTAGAAAACTTCTAAAATTATTTTGAAATTGCATGCAATTTGTACACTGTTGCAGGGTTATTAGTGAGCCTTTGTGTTTGTATTTCATTTTTAACCCATTGCACTGAGGGATCTTTATCAAAATCTCTGCTGATAAGTCTCTTTCCAGATTCCTTTTAAAGGACTGATTTGAACCTTAAATGTCTTGAAGGCTGCATTTCCCCCTATCCAAATCTTATGATCTTCTTTGGCCTTCCATTTCTATGTGACCTTCCCAAATGAGCAAAGTGGTAGAGAGTTTCAAGGAGATTGATTTGGCCTTTTGGTGGCTTATGATTTGGCCTTTCTCCATCGGTTCTGTGGAGAAAGGTTTTTTCATGGATCAGAGGGTACATGGTTTTGTGTGCTGCTTGTAACCCACAGAAGGGGCTTTGCTTGTTTGTGCGGACTGATTGCTGGCATGCTGCGGCCCAGTACTGGTCCACGGACTGGGGGTGGGCACCCCTGGCTTATGATACTCTGATTATGAAATAGATTTCCCAGAGAAGTTCACCTAATATTATCTTTATGATCTTTTTGGTCCAGATAAAGATCATGGTTATTCATTCAAGCTTTTACAATGCTTTCTCTCTTTTGTCTAGATCTCTCATTTTTAGACGCTGCTTCGTGTGCAATTGTTTTATACTGTTATTTTAACATTGTATTTTTGAGACACTTGACAGATCCAGCTAAAATGACCAATACTTCACCAGAAAGCAAAAATTCAGTGTTATGATCAGCCCAAAACTCTTTATGTTCCATTCATCTAAATCAGCGGTTCCCAACCTTTTCTATACACCATACCCCTAAAATGCTTCTGATACAAATGTTCGAAATAACAGCAACGAATTATGCATATACACTATAATTTTGAAAACCCAAGTTTTTGCACCCCCTGGAATATCATCTTGCCCCCCCAGGGGTACAAGCACCCCCAGTGACGTAAACAAAACTATAGTTTTATTATACCTGCGCCCCACATAAAAGCAGCTGGATTATGGAAGCAGGCAGACTGTTATCAATCATACCCAGCACAGAAGCTTGCTGCAACAGTTCTTAGTCCTCTCTCCCTCTCTCTTTCTCTCGGTGTGTGTCTGTGTGTGTTATGCCAGGGGTCCCCAACCCCCAGTCCATGGACTGGTACCGGTCCGTGGCATGCCAGCAACCGGTCTGCACAAACAAGCCAAGCCCCATCAGCGAGATGCAGGCAGTACACAAAACCACCACCACCCCCTCTGGCCCATGGAAAAACCTCTCTCCGCATAACCAGTCCCTGGTGCCCAAAAGGTTGGGGATCTCTGTCTTATGCTATACAACTAAGCCAAAAGGTATTTCTTCATATATTCAATCTCCTCTAAGTGGCTGGACTCCAACTTCCTTCCTGGGAAGCAGGCAAACCCAGCCAGCACTTACAAACCACTGTATTTACTTTATACTCAAGGACCCTGGCTCCTTCAACTACATTCTCCTCCCCTCTTGAGGAGGCTTGCTTCCTCTTCCAAACAGGGAGTTGTACCGGAAAAGCAATAAAAACACCCACATGAATATTTTATGAGGGAAGAATGAATGGGAAATAGCACTGTAGAATATAAGATCGTGAAGCTTCGCAATGAAACCAAACAGAGCTTAGACTGTGTCTAGAGGTGGAGGTTTAGAGTCATGAGAAACAGTAATGTCTTATTGCTGAGGAACTGTGGGCATTTAGGAGGATTTATCCAAATAGTCATTAAAGCAACCTTTCCAGCTTGGGTGCCCTATATATGTGTCCACTTCTTCTAAAATTTAACAGTCACCATGCTATCTGGGAAATTTTAGGAGTTGAAGTCCGTACTTCTGGAGGATACTTAGGCTGGAGAAGACTTCTTTTAATGGGTTAAATTGATTTTCTTTGTGAGATCATTTCGTTATCATAGCAGAAGAGCTAGAAAGTGAACAGGGCACTCTTATAGGCATTTTGCATTTCAGATTTGCTCTCAGAAGCAAGGGAGTGAAATGGAAATCGTTTCCACAAAATTCTTGGCACAATAGATATCTTGCTGAAGGAATGGCAGTCTATAGCTTCTGAAATCCTTTTCTGGGCCCCTATAAACCTCTCCCAAATGTATCATTGAGAAGAAATATCCTGCTATTCAATCTAAAATAAGATTTAATATAGCAAAAAAAGGAGAAAAATGCAACTTTCCTGAGGAAAAACATCCAAGACTATCTTGAACTAAATCAAATCATGGAAAGTCTCCCTAATAGAACACTGTCCCCCTACCCACTATAACCACAAATTCTTTTCTAAAAAAAATTAAGCAAGGCTCCCAATTAGCAAGGAGTCAACCATTGTTACTCTTCTATTACCCACTCTGTAACAAAAAATGAGCACATGGTTTAGAAACAAACTTACTTTGCTTCCTGATTGCCTCACTACTCTCCCCTTCCTCTGTTGGTTCAGTATACTAGATTTTATGTTGTAAGCAACACAAGGCAGGAACCTGCCCTCTCAAAGTTCATAAGATGTCAAACACTCTTAATAGCACAACAATGAAAAAGAGCAGATTAACTAACACACACTCTGCTAGAGAGAAGTTCCCTGAAGATGAGCTCCAGTATAAGTCTGAAAGTTTGGAAGACAAAACACCAGTCCTGGTGACCGACCCCAATTGAATCCTGCAACATTATCCTGGGACACATATATTCACCTTCATTTATAAGACCAGATTAAATTCTTTTTCAGAGACCTTTCTTGAGCTGCTACCTCCAAACATCAGAACCTGACCTTCCTATCACACATCAATTACAATTGCATGCTTTTCTAAGGCATTTTAGAACTAGGTAAATGCCGGCCTCTCATATCAACACCACAGAGCATTGCTTCTCTCTCTCTAGCTCTAGGCCAAGTCTCATCTTGGAGCTGCAGACAGTTGTCAATTAAAGATCCAGAGAGGAAAAAATGAACAATAAGTTGAACTCCGTCCCATTTCTCCCCTGAGTGCCTGCATCACACACCCAGGATTTTGTATCCTGCATGCCACGATGAATGTACTCTACACTGATGTATCTGCAACCTGTTCAGAAGATCCAAAAATGTACTTCTCCAGAAATGTACTTGCCTGAAGCAAAAACAAAACAAAACAAAAACCTCATGATGCTTTATTCTTGCTTGTTTACTTACTTGAATAGAAGCGACGAGAGTCCTGCAAATGATCACAGGGCAAAGGACAGAGATAGGCCACAAAACATGCAGGTAGTCTTATCTGAGGAAACAACCCACAACTGAGGCAGGTACCCTATTCAGAGGTAGAGATAGACCCAAGTATCATCTTGTATTCTAAGACCATCATTTTTAGTACCAAAATGGTACCACCATTGACAAGAAAAGGGCAATTCAGGGAAAGGTCTTATGTAGATTTTTAAAAGAATCATAGGAAAAAAATCACTTTGTAGGGAAAGTTCACAAAGTCATTCTACTAATAGTCTGTGGGGAAGACAGATGAAGAACAGAAGGAATATATGAAATAAAGGGGTGAACATCTTGACCAGCAGCAGTACTTATTGCTATTTCACACTACAACAATTCTTTAAAGATACAAGTGGTTGACTAGACTAATTTTCAGATATGGTCATTCCTGGTAAATTTAGTGATAAAATATTTAAAGTGAAATGTGGCATTTAAAACTCTATTAACGATATAATTTAGATATATATTTACATATATGTATGTAGATTCACAAAAAGGCTTAAAAGCCAATTCTTTTTTGTAAAATTACAAATTCTATTTGTATTGGCATGGAATCCTACATTCAGCAGGATTCGCTACATTAAACAGATTCTAATTTACAACGATTATCCACCAGGATCTCTGTGCGTACCAACAATTCTATAGGTTTGTTGTAGACCATGAGTTCTAATTCTGCCTTAGGCCTGAAGCTAGCTGACACAGGCCAGTCATTCTCTCAGCTGTGTGACAAAGACGATAGTACATCACTTCCAAAAATGTTTCCAAGTAAACTGCAAGGACTTATGCAGGTAATCACCAGGAATCAAGAGTTACTCAAAGGCATGCATGCAAAGCCCCCTTTTTGCTGACACTGAGAGAATTGGAAAGCTATCTAAAGAGGACCCCAGGTTTTCTACATCCTGCATATTGGTGATAATCTATTCTAGTACATGATAGAAAAAAATAATGCATTAAAAAAATCACTTTGGGGAAGATCCTGTTCAGTGGTCATGTGCTGTGGTAAGCAGTTATCCTGATCTGAAAGTAGATCTAAACAGAGATGCAGCTTCTGAAGGAATGAGTAGCATTTCAAAAAGTTTCTTATGCAGTGGAGGAGAGCTTGTATGTATTTCGTGTACATATATTGTACTGAGTACATATCAAGAATATACACAACAGATGTTCAAAATTCAACCCAGGCCAAAACATCTTTAATTAGCTTTAAAAGCTAAAGCAAGCACATGAGAACAGTTTTATAGCAACACTGACATATTCAGATTTATTGGGAATCCCTACCCTTTTTTAAGAATGTAGTGCTGTTCTAGCTGTTTTTCAGCACAGTCACATTACTACAGGGAAAGTCAGCCTGAAACACTGTCCTTGGGATCTCAGTGCCTTAAACCTCCAGCTGTGTAGTAGCTGGTTTCCAGAAGTGGATCTTCCCAACGAACACACAGTGACAGCAGCTTGCTGAATCGTATTGCCCTGGAAATGTTCACTATAAAAGGGTACTGTCATCTCAGACAGCACTAACCCACATATGAAAGATTTATGGAAGGGAGGATGCAAGAACTGCAAAGGGAGGGAGGAAAGGTCTAAGAGTTTTCCTAAAGTGCTGAGCAACATTGCTTGGAAGAAACTGCAACAAGAACTTCCTTTCCCCCCACATGAGGATTTTTTAAAAAATATAAACACCTTTTGCTTTAACATTCAACATGCCAGTCAATCATTTTTAAAGACAGACAGACAACCTGTTTCCCAATTTTTTTTTGTCTCCATGTCATGCCCTTCCACAATTCAATGAGTTGCCCATATAATGGTTGATTAGGCCTGATCCTTCTCTGCCTGCTCAACCAAAAGAGTCTTTGACCAGCAATCAGATAAGTCTTCGTTTCTATAGACTCCATTCCCGGGTGATACTTGAATTCTGGCCTCAGTTCTTTCAATACTGCTTATCCTTTGGCTTGCAAATAGTTCTGCAGAATCTGTTTCCAGCCACCTTCCCATTAAGAAATCCAGGCCTTCCAATTCCCAAACTCTCTCCTGCTCCAACTTTGGAAACCCGATCATTTCCCTAAGATCTTCTTTAAAAATAGTCACCACGTACCTTTATTGGCCACCTCCCAAGCCACTTCGAAAAGAATGGCATTATCAAGGTCAAGTTCATCTTCCCAATCCTCCAACCCAGAGAGGGAGGTCACGGACAGGCTGCGGGTCAGCGGCATAGTCTCAAGAGGATGAAAGCAAGGGCAAGAGGACTTGGGGGTGGGGAGGAGGTGTCAGGGCCTAACCTGGAGAAAGAGAAAGGAAGATGTGGTCAAAAGACAGGCCAATATCTGCTCAGGACCAGTTGCAGGAGGTGGCACTTCAGAACTCCTCTGCATCTTAGATCCTAGTTTTATCTACCCCACCCCACTAAATATGTCACGTGTCTATCTTGCAACCTCACCCAGTTGCCGGCCTACCTGGTTCTAAAAAAACATTGTAAGTCAATTGTCCCCCCCCTCTGGCTCTTCCAACACGATCTTTGAGATGCTTGTCTTTTTAGTCTGGAGTAGCAGCAACAGCTGAAGGAAGGAACAGGGTAAGATGGTGGAAATCGCCTGGATTGGGGGAGGCTGCAACAGATTTATTGCAGCTTTCCAAAAGGGTTCATTTGGGAGTTAGCTCAGAGAGTAGTCTATAAGATTCCTGGGCGCAGCAAGGAAAGAAGAATGCTAAATCATGAAAAGCACCTCTTAACTTTAAGACAATGGGCTAAAAGAAACGATGCCCCCCCCCCATCCCCATTTTCTACGCCGGGTCCCTTATTTGGACAGGGTGACGTGCAAAGGAAAGAACAGGCAACAAAGTTCCTTTAAGGGGCTGCAGGCAAACAGGAACGGGGGATGGGAGAAAATCTCAAGATTTTGAAGAAACCAAATTTGTGCCTCTAAGTTGCCCGGGGGGGGGGGAGGGCACATTAATGACTATGAAGAGGGAAATCAACGTCGCACGATTTGCAGTGGAGCATTCAGGGCTCAGTCCCGGGAGAAATCGGGGATGCAGGAAGGAGCTAGGAATGAATAAAGGATTTTGTGCATTGAAAAAACAAACCAAAACAAACCAGCAAGATTCTTTTGGCCTTTAAAGGAATGGAAGACCCCGATCTCTTGGCGAAGTGCGGGGAAGCCCGCTCGCACTTACCTCTCGGGAGCCGAAGTCTAAGGACTCCCCGTCCGACCCCCTCCCTCCACCGCCACCGCCTGGACCACGCAGACCCCGAAGCCACGCCCAGGAGGTTGTTACAAGGACTTAAAGGAGTAGCGTCGCTGCCGTCACGAAGGCAGAGCGCGGGGGGGGGGTAGAGAGAATGGAGGCTTCCTGGAAATTGCTTTCGGTGGAAGGGAAATCGAAAGGGAGGGCAAAAAAATAAGCAGGTGAATGCAGGGTGAGATTCGGAGGCAAAAAGAAAATATAGCAGATAGGAAGTACAGGCGGTCCTCGATTTACAATAGTTCACTTAGTGACTGTTTTAAGTTACCTTTGACAATCTGACAAAACAAAGTCAACGGGGAAGCCAGATTCACTTAACATCCATGCTATTAACAACTGCAGTGATTGACTTAACTGTGGTAAGAAAGGTCGTAAGATGGGGCAAAACTCACTTAAAAACTGTTTTGCTTAGTAACAGACACTTTGGGCTCAATTGTGGTCGTATTTAGGTAGTATTTTACCTGTGCTTATCCCAAGGCCCTGAATGAAAAACAATTAAAAGAGGGAAACATGAATTTTGTTTTAAGTTACAACAGCACTGAAAAAAGGGACTTATGACCATTTTGCACTGACGACCCTTGCACCATACTCCACGGTTTACATTTGGATGCTTGACAGCTGACTCACATTTATGATGATTGCGGTGCCCTGGAATCATGTGATCCCCTTTTGCAACCTTCTGACAAGCAAAGTGAATGGGGAAACCAGATCCACTTAACAGCTGTGGTACTGATTTAACAACTGCAGTGATCCACTTAACAAATGTGGCAAGAAAAGTTGTAAAATGGGGCAAAACTCACTTAACAAATTTCTCACTTAGCAACATAAATTTTGGGCTCAACTGTGATTGTAAAAAGTTGAGGACTACCTGTAATGAAAGAAAACCAAGGGTAAAAACATCAGGTAGGGACAGGACAGTTGATAAAAAAATGATTGTGGCTGAATAATGGGTTTCCGATGTGAAGAATCGGAGTAAAAGACTGCAGCATAAAGTTTGAAGAGAAAGGAGATTATGGGATAAAAGGAAGTAACACAGAAAAAACAAATTTAAAAAATGGGGAGGCTAGAGAAAGATGGAAAATCACAAGTAGACAAGAGAGTGCCAGGGAAATAACCTTTTGATTGTTGGGATATTAATAGTCACAGGGCAGAACAGATAAATCGGGCTACAAAATATTAACCCACATAGCAGGGGCTGAAGACAGAGTAGACAGGACGTCAGACCTGAAATTATTGATGTTGTGGTAAACCGAGTCTTTAAACTATGCAGATCTTAAAGCAGACATGAAGAATAAATTGTATTACAGATAGTCCTTGACTTAACAACTGTTCATTTTGTAACTGTTCAAAGTTACAATGGCACTGAAAAAAGTGACATGACCATTTTTCACATTTACAACCATTGCAGCATCCCCAGCATCAGGTGATGAAAATCTGGCCACTTGTCAACTGATTCATATTGCAGTGTCCGTAGGTCACATGATCATCTTTGACAATCTGACAAAGCAAAGTCAATGGGGAAGCCAGATTCACTTAACATCCATGCTATGAACAATTGCAGTGATTGACTTAACTGTGGTAAGAAAGGTCGTAAGATGGGGCAAAACTCACTTAAAAACTGTTTTGCTTAGTAACAGACACTTTGGGCTCAATTGTGGTCGTATTTAGGTAGTATTTTACCTGTGCTTATCCCAAGGCCCTGAATGAAAAGCAATTAAAAGAGGGAAACATGAATTTTGCCTGATTTAGTTATATTCTGTGTTATTCACCCGCACATGCTAGTTTCATTCAAAAGGCAAAGTTTATAGGTTTGGGCACGTTTCTAAGGGAAAAAATGTGGAAGAAAGATGCACTTCTTCTTGTGCCATATCTGTTATTGGATGTTGGCAATCATGCTGGCGATCCTTTTTTTATCAGCAGCCGCACGAAAAAGTGCTGCTGAATTTTGTCTAAACCAGTCCCTTAGATTTTGAAGCCATGATGTTCTTCTTCTGCCTGGACCTCATTTGCTTTCAATCTTTTCCTGGAGAATTAAATGGAGTATGCCGTATTTTTCTGGGTGTTGGATCACATGTCCGAAATATTCTAATTTTCATTTTTTAATTGTTTTGATGATTTCCCTTGGCTTTCCCAGGTGGCTTATCACCTCCTCATTTCTGATCTTGTCAACCCAGCTTATACGTAACAGCCGCCTGTAAATCCACATTTCAAATGCTTCTAGTCTCTTCAGGTGGTCAGAGACCAACTCTCTACTCCAGGGGTGTCAAACTCAATTTCATTGAGGGCCCCATCAGCATTGCAGTTGCCCTGGGGGAGGCAGGGGTGTGTGGCCAGGGTGGGTGCGGCCTACTGGGTGGGCATGGATGGAATGGGTGTGGCCTACTGGGTGGGCATGGCCAGCTCTACATTTGTGTCAAGGGTGCCTGTGGGGGCCTGGGCAGGAGTGGGACAGATCTGAAGGTCTCTGGCAGAAAGGGGTGGGACCAGGGCAGAGCCCATCAAGCCGGATATGTGAAGTAGGCAAGGGCCATTTGCTGGCCACTTCCAGGCAATGGTGCATTTCTTCATTCCTCACAAAGGGTGATACCTCCCCAGCATGCACCCAGGAGGCAGGGCTGACGCGGCAGAGGCTGGTTCCTCGCTGTTTCCAGAAGGCCTTGTGGAGCCAAGACTGAATGCATTTCAGCATAGATAGCCACCACAAAATTGTACATTGGCTCCCGGCTGGTCTGGACCAGGCCAAGGCGGTGGGGGCTGTTCCCTCACTGTTTCCAGGATGACTTCGCAGGCCACATGAAACCACTTTGCGGGCCACATCCGGCCCCCGGGCCTTGTGTTTGACATGTCTGCTCTACTCCATAGAACAGGATAGAAAAAATATAGCATCTGACAAGCCTGATTTTCAGTCTTAGGCTTATGTCATGACTGCAGAAGACCTTTTTCATTTTGAAGAATGCTGTTCGAGCTTTCTCTGTCTTTACTTCAGTGGTCATGTCCCAGCTTTCATGTAAATTAGAACCAAGGTGCGTGATCCTTTCAACTTTTTCTAGTGGTATTCCTTCTGAATTTATTAGTGGTAAATTAACGGGTTGTTTGCTGACAACCATGATCTTGATTTTTGAGGTGTTAAGCTTCAAGCCATATTTTTCAGATATTTCTGTGACTCTGTTGATGAGGAGCTAAAGGTCATCATGCCTACTGGCAAGCAGAACTGTATCATCAGCATATCTTAAGTTGTTGATCCGAACACCATTAACTTTGATGCCAGCATCGATGTTCTCCAATGCCTCAGAGTAGATTGACTCAGAGTAGATATTGAACAACAGTGGAGACAGAATACATCCCTGTCTGACCCCTCTTCTTATTTCTGCATCAGCTGAGTATTTTTGGCCTAGTCTCACATTTGTTACTTGATGCCAATACAGATTCTTTATAATTTGGATGTCTTTGGATAGCTTACTTATATGGAACATAAGGGCTATGACCCATGCATGGGATTTTATGCACCATAGAATTCATAATTGAAATTTAGTTGCATGAGATTTTTATTTTATTACTTTTTTCATTTCCATTTTCAGCCTTCAAAAGCACTAAACCAATTTTTCATATAATTGTGAGCTCAAGGTCCTTTGGTTGGAAGTAGAATGAAACCTGACTTACCTAGATGACAGCACATCAGGAAAAGCTGAATCAAAAATTCCCCAGCTCCCTTCATTTTATCTTAGGAACATTCTTATGTGGTAAGATAGGCTACAATAGATTGATTCAAGAACAATTTTCATAACATAGGATTATAAATCAAAATAGAAAAACGAGATGGAATATGACAGATGCAATCCCAGTTTCTTTTACTTTAGCTCATGGGGATCTGGTGTCTCCTGGTATCATTTGTTCTTATAAGACACATCGTGATAGCGTTTAAAACACTTTCATGCTCCCCACAATTACTGTCTAGTTTCGAGTTGCAAAGAATTTGTCAGCGTTTTGACCATTTATTCAAGATTTCCCATTTGGCAATATATTATTCTATTAATTGTATTAAATAACAGACTCCGGATAGCCGACCTTGCTTTTTTAAAAACAAAGAAAACTTCCTCTGCATTGATCGAGAAGCTACCCAACATATTACAACCGCACACGGACGTTTTCCCAACTTCTCCAACACATTTTTGTCAATGGCCTCACGTCGGACCAATAGGAAAGAACCAAACTTCTACCAACCAGCTTCCACGAGAGAATTCAAAAGACCCGCCCCTTATTTTCCAGGAAGCTTTCATTCGTTGGTGGAGAAAGTTCGCGCTCCATGAATGATCACAAAAGCAGCCAGTGATATCCGTCAGTTTATTAATTGATCCTAATTTCCACCAATTAACAAAAGGGCCAGCCTATGAGCAAAAGGGCCAGCCAGTAGAACGTGACTGATTAATATAAATCACTGAATTGCTATACTAATAACTGCTGCTGCATTTGATTTTCTACCAATGGCATATCTAAAATGGCAAACAGATCGTTGAAAAGCGAATGAAGGTTAATTAAAATATGACCCCCCCAAGACAAAAAAGATTTAATAAGCGACATTTTGCTGTTGAATGGCACCTCAACAGCCAATTGTGTTTCCCCTAGTTCTAGGATGGGCATATTCCCCTCTGAAGGCAGTTACAAGGAGTATAGCTTTCAATAATTCTATCCAGAACATGGCATATAAGCGATAGTTGAACAGAGTCCGCAATATTATCTGGGACTCTACACATCCTCTTCACGATCTGATTTCCTTGTTACTTTCTGGGAGGAGGCTTTGTGGTACCCGAAGCAGAATATCTAGATTCAGTCACAATTTTGTCCCATATAGCATCAACCTTGTGAAGTCAGAAGTTTCCTCTTTCTGCTATGTATTCAAAATGGATAGTGGTGTGTGTGTGTGTGTGTGTGTGTGTGTGTGTGTGTGTGTGTGTACGGTATATATAGCATGTGTGTTATGTGTATAGGTACATATATACTTTTTTTTGAGAGCAGGTAACAGAA